GCAGAGAAGAATGGAGAACAGAAAAACATGTTAGATCTTCAGCATAAGACAGCTAGAGCAGTGGCATGTAGAAACAGAGAAGTAAGCTTCCCATCCTCTATGGCAGCAAAAGTGGGGAGGAGACAAGAGTTAGTAGCATCCCTGTACCACACCAGTGACCTTCACAAAGCAGAACCTAGTGTGCTTATGCAGGAATTTTCAGCTTTTCTCAAGGTCTCAATTTTCCAAGGAGTTATTTCCTTCTGGCACATGAGTCTACAGGAGATTGTACTCATTCATATGGGCAACTGTGAATGATTCCATTGCTTGATTTTTCTCCGGTTATTCATTGCAAAGAGGCAATATTGTATGGTATATAGAAAGCTGACCTCAGAATCAGAATGACCAGAGTTCAAGTTTCATTCTGATATATACTAGTTTTGTGACAAGACACTTAACCTTAGTACCCTAGGCCCCACTCTAAGACTGGAAAATGAGTTCTACATTGATAGACAGACTTTCCTCACCTAAGAATTTCTCACACAATGAAATCACAACTCTGAACACAGAAGTTCTATGCTAATCTGGCCTAATTAAATGCTTTTTTTACTTGCTTTTTTTTTTGCATGGTCTGTTGAAAAAGAATATCTTCGATGGGGGTTGAAGCCAAATATTATCCCCACATTGAATCCAAGCAATTATGTCATTAAATATGTGGAATAACATTATACATGAAAATCAGTAGCTTTGCAAGTGTGTTTAACTAGATACTACCTCAATGGAATCATTGCAGGAGGACAAGAAATAATGGTTATGCTATTTTAATTAACAACTAAATGATTTTTTAAAAGATTTAAAGGGATTAAAAAAGTAGGAGAACTGAGGAGAGATTTTTTAAAACCAATTTGCTAGTAGCATAAATGATAAGAACTGTTCTTATTGATGTGTGAATGAGCATGTGTGTTAACATTGGAATAGGAATAGCCCTAGTGAAATAATGACTATTATGCATCCTTTTAGACAAAAAAAACCCAAACCAACGTTTAAAATATGATAAAGAATAGATCAAATTTATCAATATGACCCAATATAAACATATTAGACTCCCCTATAAGAGGGAAAAGGGTTTTTCAATTGATTAAAAACCAAAATGCTGTTGTTAAAGGAAACATATCTAATGTATAAATAAAACATATAAAGTGAAGGTGAGAAGGTGGACTTGCTATGTTCCAGATGATGACACTAGGAAATCTGGAATTGTGGTGAAGATTTCAGACAAATTCTATTAAAATTAGAAAGCACTAAGAGAGATAAAAAAAAAAAGAAAATTATATCATGCTCAAAGGTACCTCCAGCAATGAAAATATTTATTATCTATTTAAATTAAAGATGTCCCATGACGCAGAAATTTTTTTTTAAAAAAGTTAACAGAAGTGAAAAGAATTAGCTAGAAAAGTAGTAATGATGGGAGATGTTAATACCCTACTAATGAATATTTAAAGAAACAAAATTGTAAATGATAAAGAAGATTAAGATTTGAACAGAGTATAGGCAAAATTGAATTTTATAGATATATGGAGAAAGCTAAATGGGAAAAGTGGGGATTTTTTTTCAAATGCAGCAGGACATGCTAACAATGTATCTTATCATAAGACAGAAAGAAATTCCACATAAATTCCAGAAGGCAGAAATAAATGCTACATGTACAAATCATAACACAATAGAATAGTGTAACAGGGGAAAATAAGAGCAAAGATTTGGAATCAGAGGGCCTAAGTTCAAATCTTAGCTTCTTTCTACCTATGTGACCTTGACTTTTATTTCTCTGGACCTCAATTTCTTCATCTGTAAATTAATGCAGTTGGACTCTCTAAGGTCTCAACCAGATCTAAATTCTATACCCAAAAGCTCAATGCACTTCCTCATCAGGTAGTTAAGTAGCTGTCTTTGGAGATCAGCAAATAAAGGCTATATGAAAACTTATCCAAGGCGGTTTAAAGGGAATTTTTGTGTTAGGGAGGGGCTAGAGTTGCTGAATGACTCTTAATGTATCTGTCAGTTTTGGCATTCTTTGAGTCTATATTTCTGTGTTTTGTTCTTAAACACTTCAAATATAATACCATGTTGCCTTTGCAAATGTCTGATAATTCTTTGTTATTCCTTTTGAACAAATATAAACAAACAACATTTACCTAAGAGAAATAATGAAATAGTTAAAATTTGTTTTTGTCATCTCTCCTTTGAGTTCCTTACCTTCAGCATAAGGATCACTATGGCAGTCTCTATTTTGGCAATAATGACATTCATTTCTATAGTGCTTTAAGGTTTTCATATCATAGTGCTTTCTGTCCGACAACCCTATGAGGTAAATTGAATCAAGGATCTCATGTGTCCAATATTTTTCTTCTTTCTTCCTTCTCTCTCCATCAAAACTTAGCTTTCCATAGGGCTAGGATTTTTTAGTATCCCAACCTATCTGACAATGTCCATATGAGATAAAGTGATATATACTAATGTGTATCTTCCTAATGTGTCAACCATCCAATGGATATACCTTCTTCTTCAACTCCAATAATTCAAAAAGGTTCATGATTTTACTAGTGTGAATATTCTCTGCATTGATGTAGTTTCTTAGTAGAAGAAGCTATACTAATAGCTAGGTCTCAATTACTTGCAACAATGAATGCTGTGAAATGATTGCATATTTTTGAATTTGCACTATTGAAATTACAATTATTAATAATACAGCACTTGGTTCTAGTTCAATGGAAATGCAATGCTAATTCAAATAATGCAAACATTTTGCAGAATATTTGCCCTAATTGTGAGTCAGCTCTGTATCATGGGATCATAGGATCATGAGATCATCAGCTTCTATTTGGAAGCTAATTAAAGACCATCAAATCCAATTCCTTCATTTTACAGATTAGGAAACTGAGATGGAGATTTTGCCAATTGGCAAGTATCTGAGGCAGGACTCATACCCAGGTACTGCTGACTCCATCGATCTTGATCCATTGATCAAGTCCATTGATCTTTCCATCTCACCATAGTCAGAATTTATCACTTGATAGCCACCTGTTGTTAATTAGCCCCTCTAAAGCCAGCTAAGCCAGTCCTTTTTGATTGATATGCCATTCTTCATCAGGTATTTACTTGATTTTTTCCAGTTTGATAAGACAGCTCAAAGTTTGCCTTATGGTAACATAGCCTTCTAGACTCAGGGTCAGCTCAATGCCTCAATGAGGCATCAGAATTAGTTTAACCTTTTACTGGAGAATCATAATGAACTAATGCATTTAAAATGCACATGTCCCTTGAGGACCTATGAAAATGGCAGGTATGGAAAGATATTTCTGGAGACTTTGGATAATCCTTGGATACAATCACCCAGTCTACTTACCTTAGATCTTTGGCAAGCTATTTTACTTTTACTTTTCGATTTTTGTTGTCTTTGTGTGTAAGTGAGAAGTTTGGCCTAGATGACCTTTAAAGCCCTTTCTATGCCTACAAAATCATTATTTAGACTATAAAGAAGGCTACTCAGTCTCAGATTTTTGTTTTACTTTATTGATGGCTAAACTGAGGTACCAAATTGAGGGTGGAGGATAATCTTTAATGTGTCTGAGACAACTATGTGATTAAAAAAAGAAAGCTACACTGTTACCCTCAGGTAGGACCATAGCTCAGAATTCAAGGCTCAGAATAACACCTGTACAGCACTTTTGCTCAGTTTACACAGTATTGAAAGTTTGGCAGGAAATTATTATGTAGCTCATATCTTGCCTTTTATAAACAAAGAAACAGAAGCAAAGAGGTTGAAACAGCATAGAATGAGTCAGTGTTGCCAATTAATTCCATCAAGACTTGATAGAATTGGCCCCTGAAAAGAAACTCCTTAGGCCTCCTTTCTGGCTCCAATTGACCTTTCTTGCTTTGTCTCACACCCCACCACTTCCCCCTTATCTATGCTGCAATAAAAAGTGTGTTGCTTGTGATATTTCTAAAATATATCCTGCAATTTCCTACTTCTGTAACTGTTTATGCTGTTTACTCAGTCTGAAATGACAGCATTTTTCTTTCCCTCTCCCCCCCCACACCCATCCACAACCTCTTCCCATTTCCTTTCATTGGCATCTAAACATCCTTCAAGACCAGGTTCAAATGCCTTCTCCTCCAGGAAAACTCCTCTTATTCCTGCAGCTAGTTATGATATCTCTTGAGTGATAGCATTTTATACTCCTCTTATAAAGTTACGATGTTATAACTTGTATTTTATTTATCTGTGTACATGTCCCATTTCATTCCATTCTCATGGGACTATAGAATGATAGATAAAAAGCTGGAAGTGTCCTTAGAGGTCTTGTAGTCCAACCCGCTCATTTTACATGTGAGGAAATTAAGTCCTAAACAGATTAGTGACTAGCCCAAGGTTCTGAGTACAGCAGTTCTCCTGAACTAATCCTGTTTTCAGTGTCTGCAGAATTGTCTGTCTCTCAATGCTGACCTGAGTTGGGGGAATATTCTGGTCTGCTGTCTGATTCTCTTGTTTTTGAAATGCTGCAGGTGGCCCTGGTGGATAAGATGGTATCTGTTCTGCATGGCATGGGTCCTGCCTTAGGCTTCCTTTCTGCCTCTAACTGACTTTTCTTGCTTTGTTTCACACCCCACTATTTCCTAACCACAGATTAGGAAGCCTAACCCACTGCACACAGGTTGAAGGATCCTAGAGATAGCACTGGTGGAGAAATCAGAAGACATCTAGTCCAACTCCTTGACGTACAGAGAACGAAACTGAAGACGTGAGAGATTAAGTAAAATAAAGGCATAGACCTAATAAATGATGGATCTGGGATTCAAATCCAGACTACAAGGTCAGTGCTCTTCCACCACGCACGCCACAGCCTTGACTGTAAGTGTTTAACCCAAACTCATATAAACACATGCACATCTTCAAGCCTTGAAGTGAAAGGAAGAACATTTTATTCAGTGAAAGGGAGAATTGTCAACTCATGAAGATATTGGTAGATCTGATTAGAAGAAAAGTTCTGTTCTCTCCTAATCATTTTGCCATCTCCCCCAACTATCCTAAGTCCCTCTCCTGCCTTATATCTCTCAGGGAGAAAAACTTGATTAGAACTTGCTGGATCCTTTTCCTTTATGAATGTCTCTACCTTGCACCACTTTTATGAGGTGAGGAATGAATCTCTGCCCTTCTGATATCTGATATCTCTGTTCCAATTTCTTAGCCTTTCGATCCTCTCTTCCTTTGGTGATTGGGGGTGAAGGAAAGGTGTGTGTGTGGAGGGGGGGGGAAATAGTTTAGAGGGTAGGGTGATGTGGTGGCTCAGATTCTTTCCATTGTTGAGAAATAAACTACTAACTTCAGTAAACTTATTCAGTGTTCAATCCTTGGGCTGGACAGGAAAACATAAGCCCAGGCGGCCAATAGCCTCTATTATCCAGGGAACTTCAGCTTGCGGCATAAGTAGAGACAGCCCCCTAGTTTGAAATTTTCCTCTTCACCTTGGTGTCCTCTAGGCTCACAGGGAATCCACTCAGGCCACAGTGGAGTTCTAAATAGCTATAGCTGCTGGTGCCCCTGTAGCCTTGACCAGACTCCAACTGCTCACAGGTAAGGATTTTGAAGGGTTCCTTGCTCCATACTCGTACATTCTCATAGCGATCTAACCCATCCCTATAGCATATATCTTCTATCTGGCTCCAAATAGCATAGATGAAAGTATGGGAGGCTTTGCCCTTCAGAGAGCCAATGGCACCCATAAGACCTTCACAGCTCAGCTGGCTGAAATCCAGGCCCAGGCTGAGATGGTGTTGCTTCATGAACTCTTGCCAGGCTAGGTCTTCAGAGTATCCAGGAAGCACCCACAGAGGAAGCAGCATCAACAAGACAGGGCCTGTGCCATTCAAAACAGATGCCATCTTATCCACCAGGGCCACCTGCAGTATTTCAAAAGCAAGAGAATCAGATAGCAGACCAGAATATTCTCCCAACTCAGGTCAGCATTGAGAGAGACGATTCTGCAGACACTGAAAACAGGGTCAGTTCAGGAGCACATTGTACTCAGAATACTCTAGCACTCAGAAAGGTGCTGGGGAGTGGGTTAAGAGGAAGTTCCAGACTCATACAGCACCAGACACATACTGAAGCACAGTGACAGGGATAGGTACCAACTGGCAGCTTTGTTGCTCATCACCTAGTTCTAGGTCACAAATCCATGGTGGAATGCGGAGACCTACTCTGGAGATAATGTTCCCAGATGAGGAGTCCATGAGCAGTGTACCAAGAAACGAGAAAGTTTAGAAGCCTGCAACAGCACCATGGCTCAGACACCAAGAGAAGAGCAGAATCTGAGTTCCAGCATCTAGCCCAGACTACAGGCGAATAAGCAGGGCAGGAATCCCAGACCAAAAGGGAGTCTGCAATTCTGCCACTCCGAACCAAAAGAACTTTCCAGACAGCTGATAAGGGATGAGTGAGTAGCATTCTACTGTTGCTCAGACTCAAATCCAGGCCAGGAGCTTGAAGAGCTCAGATGGGGTGGAAAGGTGGGTATGGGAAGTCAGAAATCAGATTTTGCCCTGGATCAGACCACTTTAGGAGCATTTAAAGCTTGAAGGTCCCTAGAACGTTCCTGAGATTATGGAATAACACAAAAGGCAATCCCTAAGAAAGCAGAAATAGGATCACCCCAGACCTTCCCTCCAAAAGTAAGCAGAGCCCAGGCCTAACATCAGGTCTGGAGTTAGAAAGTAGGCTGGAAGAATAAGCAAACAAAAAAGAATCTCACCATAAAGAGGTATTGTGGTGGCAAAGAAACCAAAAACATTAGTGCAGAAGAAGATAATGACTCCAAAACATCTACAAGCAAATCCTCAAAGAAAAGGCATAGTTTGAGTACAAACACAAGAAGAACTCCTGGAAGAAATTAACCAAAAGTTTTTTTAAAAGTTATAAAATATTTTGTCATGAAATGAGAGTGCTTGAGAGGAAAACAAATTAAAGCTACAGAAGAAACAACTAGAAAGAAAAATAAAACTTAGCATAAGAGGTACAAAACTTTGCCTTATCAACAAACCCCTGAAATTTAGAATGAACGAAACAGAAGCTAACAACTTCATGAGGCAAACAAAAATATTCTAATGAAGTCAAAAGGCTGGAAAATAGAAGAAAATGTAAGCTATCTCATAGCAAAAACAATTGACCTGGAAGAAAGTTCAAGAAAAAAATTAAGAATCTTTATGAATGCCATGGCCAAAAAAAATGAGTCTAGATCATATTTTAAGAAAGCTATGCTGGATCTCTTAGAACCAGAGCAAAGTGGAATCCGCAAGTCACTTCCATTTTCTAGGTCAATTAAAAATATAGCAAGCATCCATAAAAAAAGAATCCAAGTACTAAGGAGCCACAGTCAGGATCACACCTGATTTAGCAACTACTACTATAATAAAGAAATAGAGAATTTAAAATCTGATATTCCATGAGGCAACAGATATAGGTTTACCCAGAAAAACTGAGTGTAATGCTACAAAGAGGGAAAAAAAAAGGAAATGAAACAGAGGCCTTCAAACATTCTTGATGAAAAGACCAGAGTGCTTAGAAAACTTCGAAGTTCAAACAAAGGAATTGAGAGAAATATAAAAAGGTAGAGATGAATGAACAATGATAAGAAACAAAACAAGACTGCTTACTTTCAAATATGAGGAGGTGATACATGTTTACCCTCTGAACCCTGTTATCATCAGGGTCCATTAAAAGAATCTGATTAAACAGGGTCTGGGAGTGGTTCTGTTATGTCTTCATTGTAAGAAAAGAATGGAAAGAGGGAAAGAGGAATACACTGGGGAGGGGAAGGAAAAGAAGATTAGAGAAAATTAACTTACATAACCAGGGTGCACAAGCAGATATTTACCTAAACAAGGAGGAGGGGAGATGAGGGAGCAACTGACACTTTAACCTCATTCATCTGAGCTGATCAAAAGAAGGAAGAATACACATGTATACACACACACACAGAGCTGGATACAGAAATACATTTCACTCAACAGAGAAACAGGAGAAAAAAGGGAAAGATTAGAGTTAGGGCAGATTAAAGGAGGGATTACTCCTAAGCAAAACAAATTCTAACTAAGGATATACAAAAATATTCATAGCTATTTTTGAGGTGACAAAGAATGTGAATCTGAAGGAGTGTCCACAAATTGGGGAATGGTTGAACAAGTTATATGATGAAATATGATGAAACACTATTATGCTCCAAGAAATGATGAAGGGGATGGTTTCAAAGAAATCTGGAAAGACTTCTATGAATTGATACATAGTGAAGTTAATAGGAAAAATTTATGCAATGGCAACAATATGGTAAAGGTAAACAACTTTGAAAGAATAGGAATAAAACAATATAATGATCGAGTACGAATTCCAAGGACTAATGATGAAACATGCTACCCACCTGCTGATAGAGAAGTGAAGGACTCAGAATGCAAAACAATTTAACAAAAAATTGGGCATGGCCAATGCAGAAATTTGTTTCGTTTGACTATACATGTTTGTAATATGTTTAGTTTTTCTTTTCTTCTCAATGTGAGGTGGGGGTGGGGAGAGCATGGAGTGAGAAGGCAGATTTTTGCTGATTGGAAAAAATAAAATATAATTTTTGGTAGGTAACATAACAATAAAACCTACTCTTTAGAAAGATTCTTATCTCAGTCAAATTCACCATGAATGTAAGTCATTTAAGTAACTCTCCCAATTCTATTTGCATTTTAATTATTTCCAATTGTTGACTGAAAAGCTTTGTACTCTGTTTTGTTTTGTTTTAATGCCAAGCAACACATAACTCACATCAGGAGATGGGGTGATTGTAAGTTTGACTTAGAAAAGGCCTTTGGTCCCAGAAAATCCCATCACAGGCTTTGCCTATTTTGTTCCTATATGACTCTTCTAAGCTTCTTCCACACACTCCTTCTCACATCCTATTTAAAACCCCTTATCCTCTTTATCTGTCTCTCTGTCTCTTGTATGTGTTTGTGTGTGTGTGTATGTGTGTGTGAGTATCTCTGTCTCTCTCTATTTCTCTGCCTCTGCCTCTGTCCACGCCTCTTTGTCTCTCTCTATCTCTGTCTCTCTGTCTTTCTTTTTCCAATAACACAGCATCAATTTTTGAATGCTGTGCTAACCAGTACAATGCTGGTTGGAGAAAAGAACCATCACTCAACCCACAAAGAGATAGCCCTAAGATTAGAATGTGTAGAGATCTATAGCTCTATTTATCTATTCTCCACGAAAGCCCTTGAGCCTTAATCTGCATTGCACTGTACCTCTGGCCCAAGAACTTGATGCAAAGCTATAGAGGAAGAAATAAGGGAAATCTATCTCACCTAACTAGTGACCCCAGGACTCTTTATGGAGATATTGTTGAAAATGGTTCCAGATTGGCAGCTAATAGGATATTGGGTTGTTTTCCTGGTTCTTCTACTGGCTGCCTATGCCACTTCACGATGACTTTAGGCAATTGTAAGGGATTGTGTATCATAGTAAAAAGCTCATTTGACTTAGAGTCTAAAGATCTGGATTCAAATCCTAACTGGGCTACTTATTAATTTTGTAAGTTTGGACAGGTCATTAATACTCTCTGGGCCTCAGTTTCTTCATCTGTCAAAGTAATGCCTGCCCTGCCTACTTCATAGTGCTTGTGAAAATCAAATGAAATTATATATAAAAGTACCCTTTATAATAGAGTATTAAAATTTCAGCCATTCTTAGGCAGATAATATTGTGAAGCCTCTTCTGGGGTATTAGTTTTTTCATCTGTCATATGGGACTAGAGAGAGATCAGAGACCATCTTGACCAATATTGCCTCCCATTTTAAAGATGGGGAAGACCGAAGCTCAAAGCAGTTAAATGTTTGTTTGGGTTTTTTTACTCCCCTAGGGTCAAAAAGGTAGTAAGAAGAAAAATCAGGATTCAAATCCAGACACTCTTTCTAAATCCAGTGCTACTTCCACAATAATCTCTAGCTGGTTCATTTTCCATTCATTCATAGCCATACTCCAATTCCAACTTTTAAATGGTTCTTGATTGAGAACAGAGTTCGATTCCTGGCTCTGCCATTTGGTACTTTATGTAAGCTTCAGTAAGTTATTTATCCTCTCTGGACCTCAGTTTCCTTATCTGTAAGATGAGCAGACTGGATTCAAGCATCTCTAAAGTCCCTTCCAGTTCTTAATCTTTTGATGAGTCTATTACATGGCACACATGTCATTGGTGCTAAAATCTCTGATGTTGATGCCATAACATCAATACTGCTCGCACTCACCTACTGTTGGATTCAGGGGTCACCTGTCCTTCTGAGATAGGAGCAGAAGGTATATTTGAGAAGCAGAAAGTCTTTGATTTCTGTCACTTCCAAGGGTCTCTTCTTAGAGTCCAGCAATGAGAGAGAAGGAAGGTGGAGATATAGGGAAGTGCATTAATCCAAATGAATGGAATTTCCAACGTAAAATAGAAGAATTCCCTCCCTTGGGAGCTCAGGGAAACAAACTGAGGGAGAAAGAGAAGGAAGCAAGTCACAGAGCATGCCATCAGGAGCAATTTAGGGTCACTTCAAAATTGGCCCAGTGTTAAGTAGAAATGGCAAACAATGAAGGCTTTGAGTCTAGGGACCAGGATGGAGGTGTGTCCCATGTAGAGTTTTTATCTGACCCTGAAAAAGACAGAACTCAAGACCTGGCTCCCTCTACCACTTCCTGGAAAACTCACCTTTAGAAACTCCATGAAAAGTGAAATCCTTTGCAAAGATGAATTCTGGGCAGAGTCCCATGAGCACTCAAGAGAGAAATAGATTTCCCATAGGACCTGAAAGACAAGAATTCCACTTGGTGGAGGATACACGAGGGCAGTTCATCTAACATCCAACTACTGCTTCACCTACGGACCAATCAGGGTTACTTTCTTTTCTGACATGGTATAGCGTATATAGTACTGGATTTAAAATTCCTTGGTTTGAATCCCAGCTTTAGCATTAATTAACTATGTTACTGATCTATGAAATGGAAATAACAATACTCAAACTCCGTGGGGGAAATGTTTTGTAAATCTCTTAAAATGCCATAAAGATGTGGTGGTAGTGATGGTGGTGTTTACTTCAAACCCTACCAAAACCAATGGTCCACTTCTTCTATCAACACCTATGTGGCACTTCCCTTATCTACATTTAGTTAAACTTTTCTTATCATGATTATGATAGGGAAGCTAGGTGGATTGAGTGTCAGGCCTGGGGTCAGGAAGATCTGAGTTCAAATCTGGCCCCAGATACTTATTAGTTGTGTGACTCTGAGCAAGTCACTTAACCCTGTTTGCCTCAGTGACGTCATCTACAAAATGAGCTGGAGAAGGAAACAGCAAATCACTCCAATATCTTTGCCAAGAAAACCCCACATGGGGTCACAAAGAGTCTGACACGACTGAATAACAACAATCATGATCATAGGGAAAAATTGCTGCTTAACTTGTTTAGTGTACTTTGGAGGTAGAATTAAACCTTCAGTCAGTTGCCAAATGATCAATCCTATAGCAATTTATTTACATCTAAACCTTATCTCCAAAGCAGTGCCACCGTGTGTTATGGACTATTAACCTTCCCTCTGAAAGGCAGATAAGTCACTGGGGTTAGACAAAGCCATGTTTGGCATTTTGAAAAAAAGAGTGAAATACCATAACTAAGCTCAATTGTTTTTGGTTCTCAAAACTTAGCTCATTGTTAAACATTCTCTAGGTAACAGTGCACTCATTACCATCAGATAACCAGATGGAGTGCAGCTGTTTCTGGTCACTGTTTCCTCACATAATTAAATCACTATAATCTCTAGTCTCCTAGGTAAAGATGTCTGGCAGAACTGTTTGATGGAATTGCCCAACAGAAAACAACATGACAACAAACCTAGTAAACACTGGTGACTCTGCAATATAGTAGACATGAGTTGACCTGGCCACATATCATCAAAGCATATTTACCCCTCCACGCATGTTCCTGATCATGTACATACTAGGCATCTGAAGTTATGTTATTTGGATGCCTGGAGAGATAATTCTGTTAACAATAGTAATAATTTTTATTTATGTGGCACTTTAAGGTTTACAAGGCAGCTAGGTGGTACAGTGGATAGAGTGCTGGGCCTGAAGTCAGGAAGACTCATTTTCCTGAGTTCAAATCCAGCCTCAGCCACTTGCAAGTTGTATGACCTTGGGCAAGTCACTTAACGCTGTTTGCCTCAGTTTCTCATCTATAAAATCAACTGCAGAAGGAAATGCAAACCACTCCAGTATCTTTACTAAGAAAACCCCAAATGGGGTCACAAAGAGTCAAAAATGACTGAAAACGATTGAACAATAAAGGTTTACAAACTCTGAATCTAGAACTTTCAGAATACTTTCATTTGTTCACTCATTTAACAAAAATCCATTATATGTCTGTACTAGATCCTAATGGAAATAAAGAATTCAGCCATAGCCCCTGCCTTCATGGAATTTAACAGTCTAGTAAAGGCAGCTGGTTGTACAGTGGATTGAGAATTGAATATGGAATCAGAAAGTCTTAAGTTCAAACGTCACCACAGATACTTACTTGTCACTTAACATCTGTTAGCCTTAGTTCCCTCAACTATAAAATGGGGGTGATAATAATAGCACCTGTCTCCCAGAGTTGTTGTGAAGATCAAATGAGATTTGACATTCGTAAAGTGCTTAGCACAGTGCCTGTCACATAGTAGGCAATTAAATGCTTATCTCCATTTGCTTTCCTTCCAGTAGGAGGATGAGACAGTTATAGGAGTACACATACACACACACACACACACACACACACACACACACACACACACACACACAAACCAAAACAAACCCAAAACCCTGCTCTGTGAGCTAAAGGAGAAACGTTATTTTTTAAATAGTATTTTATTCTTCAAATTACATGTAAAGACAATTTTTAACTTTTATTTTTTTAAATTTTGAATTCCAAATTTTTTCCTTCTCTCCTTTCCTGCCTTTCCCCCTCCCTAAAACAGTAAGCAATTTGATATAGTCCATATATGTGAAATCATGTAAAACGTATTTCCATATTAGTCATGTTGTGAAAGAAGAAACAGACAAAAAAGGAAAAAAAACACAAAATAAAATAAAGTGAAAATAGTGCACTTTGATCTGCATTCAGACTCTATCAGTTCTTTCTCTGAATGTAGATAGCATTTTTCATCATGAGTCCTTTGGAATTGTCTTGGATCATTGTATTGCTGAGAAGAGCTAAGTCGTTCATAATTGATCTCCACACAATTTTGCTGTTACTGAGTGCAATGTTCTCCTGGTTCTGCTCACTTCACTTTGCATCAGTTCATATAAATCTTTTCAGATTGAGAAAGTTATTTCTGATTAATGGATGAGAGAAACCTTTATAAAAAGAATTATGCATTCATTTGGACTTTAGAGTATAAGTAGAAATTCAATTGAGGAGAGGGAGGACTCAGTGTAAATGAAAATAGTGTAAGTGTAAGATCTGCCCATGTAAGATGTGTATATCTACATGGGATGTATAAATTTATAGATAGGAGGCCTGAGTATAGACACTGATAGATATTTACAGAATCTTGCTTGCCCTTCTCCAAAGGAGACTGTTATTCCTACCTGAAGGAGATTGGAAAAATATGATACTGACATGATACCTTATTTTCCTCTGGAAAAGAGGTATCAGACTATAATTATATCTCTCTGCTCCCTTTAAATTTTGCTGGTCCAGGGACATGATTTTTTTTTAACATTCAAAAATCCAATTTTCTGAGCACTAACCTTTAAGGAGAAGGGTAACCCAAGCTTGTACCTGTAGGTTTAACTCCTCATCAAATACTCACTACACAAAATACCATCTCAAATAGAGAATCATAAGTAAACTCATTAATCCAAGCTGATAACAATGGGAATCAGAAAAAAATGCTGGAAAATACATAAGAATGATTAAGCTCTTTAGATGAGAACAAGATGAGAACTCACTCAACCAAGAGTGAAGCCCCAGTCTCACTCTAGGGGAAATTTCCCAATGTCTTCAGGAAAGCAAGGGAAATCAAAAGCATGTTGTAGTTCTACCTTCTGCTACATGTATACTACTTCCAAAGTCTCTTTTTTCTCTCTTATCTCTAGAACCAGTATTGAAGAGAGTTTAGAACTATGAATGTATTCTCTAAAAGCAGTAATGGATTGAATAACTACTCTAAAAAAGCTCTCACACCAACTTCACTTCTTATCTAATTTTCATACAGGATTGTATCATCATACTCTCCATTAATCACATTTAAACAGAAGCACAAAAAAAATTCCAGGCTTCGAAACCCAGGTTACATAAGCAAATTGCATAATTTAGTTGGAAATGACTTAGATGATCTTCCAGTCACACAAAAAAGAACCTCCAAAAATCATTCCATAATAAGTGGGCATCCTGCCTCCATCTGAAGATCTCAATGAGGAAGAATCCACCCCAAAGTCAATCCATGATACATCAAATTTTTAGGGAGTTTTTTCTGACATTAACCTTCAATTTGTCTATTTGCAACTCCCACCAATTGCTGTTGGCTTTGCCTTCTAAGGTCAAACAGTACAGGTCAAATTCTTCTTCCAAATTACAACACTTCAAATACTTAAAGACAAATATTGCTCCCCCACCATCTCTTCTCTATATTAAATATCTCCATATTCCTGAACCAGTACTAATATGGTAAGGACTCATGGCCCTTCACCATTTTGGTGTTTTTGCTCTGGACACTCTCCAGCTTAGCGATATGCTTCCTGAAATGACAATAGCTTACAATTAGGAAGTGGTAATGTGGACATGCCCCAAAGTGATTATGTAAACAGAGGAAAAGATGGATGTGAGAGACGTTGCAAAGGTGGATTCAATGGGATTTGGTAACCAGTTGGAGATGAAAGGTGAACAAGGGAAAAGATTCAAAGATGACTTTCAGGTTTTTAAGAAGGGATACTTCCTTATGGTGGTACCCCCAGATCAAAACAGTAGATTAGAAGGAGCCAAGTTAATGGAAAAGATAATAGAAAAAGATATGAACGTATATGAGTGGAAAGAAGGGACAAAAATGCTCAATGGATCAAGGCTCTCTTCTCTCTTCTTAATCCAACAAAGAACTACCAAATTCCAATTCCTAAAGCAGAGTCTGGCTATGTTCCTCCTTAGCTCAAAGATCTCTAGTGGTACTCTATTGCTTCTACAATAAAATATAAACTCCTCTGTTTGGCATTTAAATTCCTTTGCAATCTCACTCAGCCCAACTGTTTATTGCATGTTTATTGCATGTTATATCTGGGTTTACTGCATGTTACTCCCCTCAAATGTTATATATTCCAGAAAAATGGGTCTACTTGTTCTTCCTCATATACAGCATTCCATTTTCCATTTCAATGCCTTTAAACAAAATGTCCCCCAGACTTTGACAATATTCCCTTCTTACTTTGTTCTACTTTGAATCCCTACTTTTCTCCAAAGCTCAGCTCAAGTATTACTTCCTACATAAGGCCTTTCCTGATCCCACTAATTACTATTAGTCTCCAATAACTTTAACATTTTTCTCTGTAAAAAAAAAATTAATATTTCTATCCTGAACTTAGCTAACAAAAATAAGAAGAGCATTTCCATGTGTATAATAGAACAGAAAATAAAGTTGTACATGAAACTGTATCTGTTACACACAACTTACTTTTATTTTCAAATATGTATATTTTAGAATTATATATAAATATATTAAAATTCAACATGTAAACTTTCAAAGCTTCTCTGCTTGTT